TGTTTCCCAGGAATATGGAAGTTCTCAGTAGGTGTGGTGTGTCATCGTCGGCAGGCATTTCGGATAATATTTAATTAAAAAATATAGAAAATACGAAATAATAGTTACGAAATTTTTGCACTGATAATGCAAAACGCTCCCAGATGATGGTTAGATGGTGTGACTTCAGCCTGCTGTCATCTTTAGTAGAGTGGCCGTTATTGGTAATGGGGTGCTTGCTATAAATTCCACCGTTGATCCAAGGTGACCGCTAAAGTCCACGTCGGGGTCACCAATTGTGGTATATTGGTTTATTAATACACGTCTGGGCGACGTGATAGCCAAAATCCAACCGACATGCTAACGGTGATCAGCTCTTAATGTGTATTGCATTAATATGATATCTTAATTAATGTATGTTAGAGTGATAGCAGTAGTGTAACTCTAGGATAACAATGTAAAGTAGAATGTAGGACAACTTAACCTTTAGTTGTACTAATATAAATGAACTTAATATTAACCTGTGAAGGCATGAATTAAATAAGTTTAAATATATGTTTAATGTGGGTGTCACCACATATATACGTCATAAAGCCAAGCGAATGTTTAAAAATCGTATATTAGGTATAAGGGCGATAGGGGTATTGACGCGACTTTATCTGTGTTTGACATTACCACACAACAAAAAAGTATGTTCTTTGAGTTTTATTAAAGTACCTCACATACCATCACCAATATAAGTAGTTAAGTCAACGGAATGTTTATAAGTCCTGATATTAGTTATATGGGGGGCACGTTTTTGCCTGACTTTGTCCTTTTTTAACACAAAGATACACTGTTATTAGAAAATCACGATTTCTCAATTTTATTAAGATAACTCACATATTGGCCCATATATGCGGGTTAAATTCAACACGAAGTTCGAAAATCTTTACATTAGGTGTATGGAAGCTAAGGGAAGTATTCCCGATTTTGGACCCATATTCGCACTGTAACATTGAAAAGTCACGATAATGCTACCTACCGAATTTGGTTAAAATTAGTCAGTAGGTCCCAAGATATATAAATTTTGACACCGGCTGCTACATATAAAGCCCTTTTGTAGCATACTGTATGTAAAATTTAATGTCTCTGTCATTTATTTATTGATTAATCGCACTTTTAGCATATTAAAACAGAACCGTTATATGTGGAGGCTACGCTGTTTTCACACTGTTGTAAGAAGTGTTGGAAGGATTTGCCCTGTGCAAATGTGGATGATATAGCTTGAATGGCTTGGGAGATACATTAAATCAATACATATATATATATATATATATTAAACCAATTAAAGGGCAGGGATGCGCCCACTTTTTGAATATTTCCAAACCACATTTACCACTCCCTAATACGATTATATGTACTAAATTACAGTTTTTGCATATTGTAGGCATATCACTGGTTCTATTACGCGCATCTACATCAATTTTAACTCAAGATATAGCTTGCACGGATGGACAGACATACAGTTATTTATACATATAAGTTAGATTAGTTTTATACGATACAAACAACCGTTAGGTGAACAAAACTATTATACTCTGTAGCAACATGTTCCAAGAGTATAAAAATGTCAACCTGATTGATTAATTTTGTATTTAATATAATATATTAGAGAACGCACACCTCTTTATTTTATGTAAACTGAAGTTGTTCAAATTGAATAGTATTCACACCCATAAGAAATTAAAATGAACGTATCACCAAATGTATAGCCAAATTTATGAACGATATTAAAACTTTTAATTAAGCATTATCTCTCCTAAGCTTAAACATTTATTTATCTATTTATTTATATATTCCGGAGGCCAATGCAGGTATCCGGATTGAACGAGATTGTATTGGTCTTCATCAAATGTACATAGCGCGCCGGGTCGATGTCGTGTCGAATGAGGTGATGAAGCGGTGCAGTATAGCTATTTTGCCGAATGAAATCTGCATATCTGCTGCGAAGACCATCCTTTTTGTTTGCTGAGGGGGTGTATAGGCGCGATACTGTGGTGTATTGTATTGTCCTGTGTGGTGATGTTGTAGTAAGTTACACCGGGTGAAGCGGTGTACTTCGCGGGAAGAGTTTATACTAATCTAAACACTGATGTTCTTTGTGGACTATAGAAGGTGGAATGATGTAACGAAGAAAAACCCCTATAATCGATAACATTCTGGACTCGTTCTATAGGTAATGAAAAAAAGAGAAGTAGCAGTCCTTCGTGGTTTGAACCCATTTGCAGGAATCTCCTTAGATGTAGATGAAAAATAGGTTAGGGGAAATTCTAAACAGGGCCGATTGCATTCTTCAGTGGCAAGCGGACAATGGCCATGAAAGCATCCTTTGTTCACTATTGTGAAAGCTTTTCATTAGAAAATCGACTAAATCTACGCAAAGCAAATGTTAACCATCACTTCCTTCCAACTCTGAAGAAACGGTTATGTATCGCGCCAATGTTAGCATATCTGGCCTCAGACTCAACGTTTATGTTGGATACGGAAGCTAGTGGGTGTGTCACACCCGGGCATGAGAGAGTGGCCTCGTATTATAGCCAGAGACAAATTATTGCGTAACTCGAAGAGAATTACTGAAGTTGATCAAACATTTTCATAGGTACATTTATAGTCAGCGATTTTGAGTAAGGACAGATCATACACCATTGAAATGGCTTCTACAATTGAGGAACCCAGAAAGGCAGTTGGCAAGGTAGATCAAGTGACTTCAAAGTGACGATTTCGACATAAAGCATCGCTAAAATAATAGTCGTGAAAATGCGGATACGATATTCCGCCGTCGCTGTAATTTGGAATAGAGGCATTGGTCAAAAGCTGAGGCCAAAGAAGAACAGATAAAAGTTGGTGTCTGGCTGCTTGCTTTGAGTTTGAGAAAGCGAAGATGGGAAAAGCTCCCGCGCTTCTTATGATTGTTCCGAAAGTACAATAACAATTCCCGAAGTTCTTAAAGAGCTGCACAACGGTGCAAAAGGAAGGCACATGGGCACAGGGCGAAAACCCTGGAGAAATTAATGCAAAGGTTTTATTGGGTTGGTTGACAATAAGTTATGGAGTGGATTGCCAATTGTGCTGAGTACATTGCAGCTAAATGGCCAAGGTCCAGGAATCAAGAACAGATGAAGCAGTACAATTCAGGAACGCCATATGAGCGAACTTTTATAGATGTAGCTGGTCCATTTCTCAAGAGTAAATTAGGGCTCGTGGACTCTTTCAACAAAGGGCCAGAAGTATACTCAATTCCTAATCAAGAGGCTAAAATAGTAGCGGACGTATTGATCCACAATTGGGGAACGAGATGTAGTGTTCCATTGAAATTACATTCTAATCAAGGAAAAAATTTAGAATCGGCTCTAATTCAGAATGTGACAGAATATGCGTATGCGAAAAACACGTACAGCACAGGTACATCTGCAGTCAGCATAGCATTCAATCGGACTTTAGGAGAACATTTAATGAAAGTGGTAGGGAAGTATCAAAAATATTAGGATACCCATATATGTATATGCAAAGAATGGCTTATCGGTGTGCTGTGCATGACACAACGGGACAGACTGTGTAGTAAGGTAGTAGTAGTTATGTTTTTGAAACTTTAAAAATTTATCGGTATTTTAGTGTATTCAAAGGAACCTGTCTTGTAATTAATATTCCACGATGAACATCGCTTAAATTTTTTTTTCAGTTTATATACCGTCGTTATAAAAATATTTTATTAGAAGGGCAAGAGTAATTTTTAGTAATGACCTTCGTTTATCGATTGATTTGAAGTTGGAAATTGGAGCTAATAGATGAAGCAACGCTAAGGAAAGCAATAATATACAAGACCACAAGATACGCACCAATTATGAGCGGCAAAATAAAAAAAAACGACAATGCAACTGAACTCTGAGGGATATAGTGAAAGAGATTGGGTGTTGTTTTATCATTGTATAAATCTACAAGTAACCAATCTATCTCCATCTAGGATTTTCACTAATACATACGCAAAAAAGGCCCACTTGGTACGAATGACTCAAATCTGCTATAGTGTGTTGCCGTTTATGTTTTAAAATTTATAACTTTAAGAATGTTTTTATTACATATTCAAATAGTTTTCGGTTATTAAGATACCTAAATATTAAATTTACATTTAATAAGTATATCGCTCAGGGGGATTTAGAATATTTTGTAAATATTGTTTATTAATTGGTACATTGTTTTGCTTATTATTATTGTTGTTCCTGAATTGCTCCTCATTTTTTATTCTATAATTTTTGTTTTTGTTAAAATTAATACCTTGAAGATGAAACTGAATCTCGTTTTCTTTTTTCAATGGAAAAAGAATATAACGACTGCAGTCTTCAGACTTTAGAAACTTCCTCGAAATATTAGAGGAAATTTTTTGCAACAATTTTGATTCTTGCTGTCATTTACAAGGGTTTTCCAAATTTATATTTGAAAAAATGCAACACATAGAGCGGTTTTATTGCTGTTAGAATTCTCAGCCAGACGTTCTTATATCCCTTTTTATTAGAATAATAATTTATTTTATTCTATTAAAATTTTTAATAAACAGACAAGCACACCTGCTTTCAAGCATGTAAGATTTCTATGTGTTGCACACATGTAAAATTTGTCTGAAGTCCTTTGAAAAAAAATCTTCATTTGTTGTCCTGATTACAACGTGATAGAAATTTTCACATTTTGAAGTGCTCAATTAATTATTAAGATAGGAGTGCAAATATATTCTTGTTATTAGGCACATTTCGCACTTTTTATTGATAGGTCCTACCCCACCCCACCATACATCATTTTGAATTTTCTCAGGGTTTTTATTAGATCTTCACTGTTGGCAATGCATGCACATAAAATGTATTTATATAAATATTATTGTAAAATTAATTTTTTGAATGTCTTTGTTTTTTATTTATTTATTGTTATTAATTTTGTTATTTAGTTTTAAAGTATATGGGTGAAAATAGGCCTCCTGGGGAACCGAATACCCAAAAAATCGGTAACGCGCCTAGTTGCATACCTCATGGTGGTGTGGAAAATGCAATATAGATATAAGGAAATGTACCAAAATCTAACGAAATAAAACATATTATTTGGCACAGAAAAAATCATGTTTTTATTAGAACAAAGTATATATTTATATTATCAGGTTAGATTTTTAAATTGTTTCAATGAATGCAAATAGAGGTGTTGCAAATGAAGAAATTGCACATGATTCTAACTTTTGTTGGTGTTGAGCACTATAATACTGACCACATATTAGCTTTCGAAACAATTAGATGCACACTAAAACATTTACTCTGATAAAAGCAATTTGATCGTAGGAGTATGGTAATTTACATATAAACAATTTTGTATCATTTAAAACGTAATTTTTGTTTCACTTTCCAAATCGTTATCATACATAAATCAGTTTCTAAATTAAAATCACTCAATCGAATTTAAGTACGCAATGTAAAGCATCAGGGCGTCTATTAATGAAATTATATACAATGTAAATTTCATCCCAAAGACACCGAAACTTTTTATAAAATCCTTCCAAAACGATATAAATATCATGCACATTGTGGGCGGGTTAAAAAAGGTTTATTATTTTCTACAGGTTTCCTCTGGAAAAAAATAATGTTAGTTATTATTTATTATTCTTTATATGCACTAATACACACCTGCTTATTGATAAAAATTCTTGTGTGCACAGTTTTATCAGGAGCATTACTTAATATATTTAATATTCGTTATTTTACGAAGATTGTTTTGCAAATTTATAAACCTTGCCCTCAGTTTCGTTGAATAAGCATTTTCTGCATCCCGTTATTTGACATGGTTGCTTTATTGCACCTTAGATTTTTCTGTGGTGAATATTTATTAATTTACCACAGTTAAAAAAAGGCATAAATATTTATCGTAATTATTCTAGAATTTGCCAATAATAGCCGCTCCTTTAAGAACATATATTCAAATAAACTGATTTTATTTTGAAAACATATTAAAGTTTTACATATAACCATTATTTTTTGGACACATTTTTCATAAATTAAAAGAAAATAGCAAGATGCAACCATTTTCCGATTAAAACTCGGTCATCTTGGCTGTCAACAGAAACTCAACCCCTAGGCGGACTTGACGTTTCTCCATGGACCCCTCTCAGCTGTAGCTTTGTTGACATCGATCAGCTGATTCTTTCTCTACTCCCCCTTTACGATGGAAATAACAATGCAATATTTAAATTTGGAGCGATTATCTTCTTGCTTTGTTTCTGATATCAAAACCGATAAAATTGATTTCGATGACACCCAAAACCATTACAAAGCCCGTTTCAACCATCAAACCAATAATATCTGAATTCATGACACCAACTACATTTTTTTATCGGTTTCAATTCTGATTCCGACAGCTATCAGATTCCACAACACCCCTGATTAACATGGTAAAAGAGCAAAGATGAATAATAACCACTTTTTAAGAAGATCTTACTTAACTGGAAAATCACCGTTAGGTGATCTACTTCAGTGTTGATTGCCTCGTTTGCCTCGCCTGTGCTGTATAAGCTAAAAAGTACTATTTGTAGTTGTGTCGCTATTGCTGAAATAAATCCAACATTTTCTGCTGTGTTCGGCCTAGTTGTGTCTATTTATCTGAAAAAAGTGGGTTTATAGCGCAATTCAGTAAATAGATGCCTCAATTTGTGACAAGTTACTTTTTACCATGTTGTCTTCAGTCTTTAGTCACAAAATACTGTGACGAACACAGATGATAGAATAAAATGGAATCGACGGTAAGTTGCCAGAATCAATTAGACAGCGAATTCTCAGTTGCCCAATTGTTCTAGTGGCAAAGTTTTGTTAAAGATCTAGTATATAAGGACTGCCGGATCAGCAGACACAGTTCTAATTAGAGTGCTGTTTATTAAAGAACTATAAGCAATAAGTTGTAAACTCGAATAACGAGTAAGAAGTGTTAAGTTGTTTAAATTAGAAATAAAGATAAGTGTGTTGCCATTGAATTGGGACTTTTATTTAACAATCCAGTGATCGAACTCAAGAATGAGTTACAAGGTAGACGATTTATCGAGAAGTGCGTTACAATACTTTACTTATAGAGATCATCATAGATATTAATCGAATGTGGGCTTTTATATAATATATTGTAAGCAACTAAAATACGTAACAATTAAACGAAAAACCAATTTCAAATAAATTTCGTAACTATTGTGATTCATAGTCAACTGTTTATTTTTATTTGTATTGGTAATTTTTTGTTACCGACATGTTTATTTTCATTCAGTTTTAATTTCTAAGGGCCGTTAGCTCAATGTATGGTTAAGCGCTTAACCTGAACTTTATTAGCAACATGTTGAAAAACGGTTATCTCAATATCTGGGTAGCAACCATCTGACAGTTAAGTACTGGTAAACTTTAACGAAAGAATGGGAACCTTTTGTCGCTCATTTTCAATATTTATTAAGCATATTTGCATTCATTCAAATTATTAAATTTTTACAGGAATTGGTATAAATTTAAAGTGTTAGAACTTAAATTTACATTTATTATATATTAAAGTATATATATTTTATATGTATTTACATAACTATAAGGTATTAATTTATTTTAATACTAAGTAAAAGAAAATATACTTTTATAACAAAATAAAGCAAAATACTATAACAAATAATAAATGCTTTTTTTTAAAGAATATGAATTGGTTCTGATAGCAAAAAAGGTACCCGATACGCTTACCTATGAACTTTTTAGAATTAACAAATAGATAACAAATGAAATAACGTATCGAAGTAACAGACATCCTTGTTACAACTAACAAACAGGTAACAAATACGCTAACATATTTATATACTAAAGGTAACAAACTGCTAACCTAAACAATAACACTAACAGAAATTGGGGTAACAGATACTTTTGTTAAGCGGCCTTTACACGGTCATTCATGTTTGCAAGCATGTGCGGCGTGATGAGAAGAATGAACGTGTAAACATAATAAATTCGTGTTCGTCATACATGTGCGATGGTTTTAAAAAGTTTTTAAAAACATGATGTTGTTGTGAACATGTTTTATGGTGTAAACGCTTGCATCATGCACGCAGTATATTTTTGCAGTCGTAAGCAAACATTGAAGCGTAATGACGTCACGGATAAACGAAGAACTGTGGAAGGACTTCTTTGAAATTTATCGAAGCGTTCTGGATGGCTGGATTATAAATTTTTTAAAAAATCATATAACATAAAAAAAATTATAACAAAGAAACAATACAAGTCATAATAAAATATCATGGTTTTATGATGAACGTTTTAAATTAAATTAGCAAATAAAATTTAGTTGCACGTTATTCAAAAGTATTTGTGTTGGCCCCTGAAATTTCGTTTCGCACTGCTTTTGTTAGCTATTTTTAGCGGGTTTATTTCTGGCATCCCGCCTTTTTTGACATCAGCTGTTCGAAATTCCCTGATATTAATAATAAGGGAAAGAGAATAACAGAAAAATCAGCGAAAATGAGAGAGTCTCACTTTATGCCATCCTTGTTATTTCATCATTGATGTTGCTTCGTTCACAAATAACAGAGAAATAAAGTATGATTGCATGTTCGACCGTTTAAACGAAAACCAGTTTTTTTTGCATCATATCATGTTTGCATACAAAAATGACCGTGTAAAGGCCGCTTTATAAATAACACATAGATAACTTATTCGCCAACAAATGTGTACCCTGGCAGCCACGGCAAACCACTTTCCCCAGAAGCTTCAACACAATTATACATTTTTTCTTCAAGAACTCACACCAACGCGCACTTTTGGGAGATTCCTTTTTTAATTAATTTAGAATTTTTCAAAGAAATAAAACTTCCTATTTCATTTCTTGAACTTATTGATTAAGTGCGAACGAAAAAATTTGTCATTGGTGTCAATAGACAAATTTTATATAGGGAAATTAAAATATTAGTCAAAAATGTCAAGAGAAAAAGTCATTTGCGTTTTTAAAATTCTATAAAGGAAAATTGAAATACTAAGGAAAAATGTCGGGAAAACTTTAGTTTAGCATCCCACGTTTTCAGGGTTAAGAGGGGTATAGATTGATTATAATTATTCGAGATATTTAGCTATTATTTAAATTTCAATTTCATTTCAATTTCTCGATTTATGGTTATCTTTTCTTTTATATTATGCACTTATTACACACTAACACATCACTACAATGTTTCTAAATATTTATTTTATATTGAATATTTAAGTATTTGCTTTAAATAAGCATTTAATTTTTACACAATTTTCGTAATACGAACAATAACAAATGGGTTCCATGTTGTCAGATAATAAGTGTTGCCATATCCAAACGGATGAAACAGTCAATCAAAAATAATCACCCTCTACAAAATATTATGAACTAATTTTCCATTTAATAAAGAAAAGATTTTATGGCTAAACGTATGTTTTATGCATCTGATAATTTTACAAATGGATTATGATGCTGATTTACTATATTTTTACGCCATATGTATTCATATATCAAATTTTCAAAATCTTCACTGTTATTATAATTATCCTTAATAAAATTGAAGTTTATAGAGTGATATATTCTCTTTAACATTCCTTTTTGTTAAGATTTTTTTGCACTGGCGGCTTCGGCGCGCAAAATAACCTTGGCTGGTCCACACCGGGTGTTCATAATTCAATCGCGTCAAACTTCTTTCTGCACTGGCGGCCTTCGGCCCGCTTCAAAAATACCCTGGTCGGTCCAACACCGGGTGTTCATAATCAATCGCGTCAAACTTCTTTCTGGCGGCCTTCGCGCTTCAAAGAAATAACCCTGGTCGGTCCACCAGGGTGTACAATTTAATCGCGTCAAACTTCTTTCCGCACTGGCGGCCTTTGCCGCGCTTAAAAATAACCTAAGGCATCATACCATAATTTATCAATAGAGGAATGAGCAAAATTATAGTTCATGTATTTGGGGTATAATCCTCTTTTATTGCATTTTAATCGCTCAAATATATTTATATATATATATATATATAATAGATATGGCAACACTTATTATTCGACAACATGGAACCCATTTGTTATTGTTCATATTACGAAAATTGTGTAAAAATTAAATGCTTATTTAAAGCAAATACTTAAATATTTAATATAAAATAAATATGTAGAAACATTGAAGTGAAAAGTTAGTGTATAATAAGTGCATATAAAATAAAAGATAACCATAAATCGAGAAATTGTAAAATGAAATTGTGAAATTGACAAATTTTTTCGTTCGCACTTAATCAATAAGTTCAAGAAATGAAATAGGAAGTTTTATTTCTTTGAAAAATTCTAAATTAATTAAAAAGGAATCTCCCAAAAGTGCGCGTTGGTGTGAGTTCTTGAAGAAAAAATGTATAATTGTGTTGAAGCTTCTGGGGAAAGTGGTTTGCCGTGGCAATAATTATATATATTCGTGATCTGGAGAATCTCCTCTATCCAACCATACCGTTCTTAACCCTGAAATCGTGGGATGCTAAACTAAAGCCCACCCAAAATGTCAACAGAAAAAGTCATTTGCGTTTTTAAAGGGCAGAGGTAAGTCAACAAAATTTATGTTGTAAATTTGTATATATGTAACTATTTTTTCACTTTCACGAACAATGGGTTACTGTTTTCTCACTCACTGAACAAAAGTAAAATTTTTTAACTTATACACGAGAGAACAGTAACAAACAGTTAACACGTTTTCTAACAGTTATCCGTCTTGTAGGGTCGCTGGAATCAGCTTCAAGGATGACATGATAGAAAACTCTTTGATTCGAGAGAGCGCTGTGAAAGTCCACATTTTTTATAACATTTGTCAATGTTGCAATTGAAAAAATATGTTAGAGAATTTTTATTACATTTTTTGGGAGTTTGCAATTTCCACACCACCGCTGACGTATACAAAAGGCGCGTTACCGAAGTTAGTCTTGGGTGCTCGGTTCCCCCCCAGGTCTATATCACCCATATAGGTACAAAATAAAATCACAATAATTTTAACGAAATAACACACCGATGTTTACATTTTCCTATAATTTGTTAAGAAAGCATAATATAATTAGATACATATGTTTGCTACGGCTTTAATAACGTACTTACCAATTTTATTTTGTGTAAAAACACTTATACAAATATTTTTTATTTTATTAAAAACAATATCACTTTCACTGTTGCTGCTTCAGCATAAAACTTTCGGTAAATGTATAGTTTAGGTCCCCCAACTAAGGAGGCCTCAAAAATGAAATTTTTTTAAATCGTCTTATTTTGACGCGAATATTACAAATCTGTGAACAAAAAGTGAATTTTTCAATAATTCCATTAAAAAACTTTTTTAGTTTTTTTTTTTTAATACATATACTTTAAAAATAAAAATTGTGATACATTGAAATTAATTATTTTATTTTGTCCGCTGCTGAAAGGAGTTTGGTGCAAAAGAACTATGAACACCCCGGTGTTGGACCGACCAGGATAATTTTTTTGAAACGCGGACGAAGGCCGCCAGTACGAAAAGGAGTTTGACGTGATTGAATTATGAACACCGCGGTGTTGGACCGACCACGGTTATTTTTTTGACGCGCGGGCGAAGGCCGCCAGTACAGAAAGGAATTTGACGCGATTGAATTATGAACACCCCGATTTAGGACCGACCAGGATTATTTTTTTTAAGCGCGGCCGAAGGCCTCCAGGGCGCAAAAGAAATTGTGATTGATTAATTTTTTCAGTATATTTTTTCACAAGGTGTTTCCACTCACGGATTTTTAATATACGCGTCAAAATATGACGATTAAAAAAAATTTAATTTTTATCCCTGATTTTGTCAGTTATTTTTAACATGATTTTATCGACAGTTAATTTTTTTGCTTGTCATCTGTCCAGTAGCTCATGAACTCGTGGTTTTTGTTTTGGCAGCACTGAAAGGTTATGA